AAAAAAAAAAGAACAATACAAATCGCCTAGAATTCTATAATTACAGGGCTGGAGAGATGGGTCAGTGGTTAGAACACTGGCTGCTCTTCCAGAGGACCTGGGTTTGGTTCCCAGTACCCACATGGCAGCTAACAGCTGTCTGTAACTTCGGTTCCAGGGGGTCCAACAGCCTCTTCTGGCTTCTGCAGGCACTGCACGCATGTGGTACTCTTACATACATGCAGGCAAAATACTCATAGACATAGAATTAAAAAAAAACTTAAAAAAATTCTGGAATTAACATTAGGCATATGTGCCTCACTTAATCATTTACTAAAGAGCCCTCAGGTTGCTTATAACCTAAGGAGATGTCATAATTACTTCAAAAAGATGATATTAAAAAACAAATCACCAACAGAAGCCACTTGGCTGGAATTTCATCACTTCCTGCAACCAACCAACCAGCCAACCTATTTGTGAGACCCTTCCTTCTTTACATAGTCAGTTTTAGGATTATAGGGTATTTCTTCCTGATGAGAAGATACCAGGGCTTTTCATCTGGTCTTATACTGTCAATTTCATGAATGACATTAAAATCCAACTCTTACTCCTAATGACTTAATTTTACCCTCTTTCCTTTTTTCCTTCTAGACAGGGTCTTGTCATGTAGCCCCAGCTGGCCTCTAACTGGATATCATCCTGCTGCTAAGGGTGGGGATTACTGGTATGCACCACCAGCTGAGCAATGATCCTCTTTCTCTTCTATTCCATGTCACCGCATTAAAACCAAACAACCCTCTCTCCTATTAAAATAAATCCAAACATAAAACAAAACCTTTCACAGCTCTTCCCAATGCTTTCCTCATACTCCAGTTTTGGAGGTCGTCTAATTGGGAGCTGGCCACTTACTATTCTCTTTCTTTTAATATCAAAACTTAGCAACATAGTCTCTGGCTCTTCAGCTTCCTAGAAACACTACTGTGGATGGCACCAGCGGCCTCTTCTCCCCTTCCCTCCTTTCTCATCTTCCTGGGTCCCCTTGGTATTGTCTGTCTTTGTTTTTCCTCCTGGTGCTGGACGTTGAACTATGGGTGTTAGGAACATTAAGCAGGAGCTCTACCGCTTAGCTACAACTCCGGGTTCCTCTAGTAGCATCTTAATTGCTGCAGCCAAGAGAACATTTAATCTTATTTGACATATGACTAACATTTGGACTTGCTAACCACTCCTTTCTAAAGACCTGCCTTGGTTTCTAAGAGCATGGAGAGCAGACTAAGACATCTGTCCCAGTTGATCTTTCAAAAACTGTGCAGTAGGTACAATCTAATGCCCATTTAGTAGATAAGAAAGCTTAGAGAAGTCATTTACTGGGCCCAAGGTCACAAAGCAGTGTGTGTGTTTGTGTGTGTGTGTGTGGGGGGGGGTGGGGTGGGGGGGGAGATATGGAATCTTAGCATGTTGGCTTGGGAACTGCTACCTTTCCCGTACCCTCACAAATCTCGACTGCTCATAAAGGCAAAGCAGCTGTGCCTTACAAGTTCAAGGCCTGCCTGGGATACAAAATGATTTCAAAGCTGGCCCAGGCAATTCAATGAGACCCTGCCTTGAAATAAAAAATAAGAAAGGGCTGAAGATAGAGCTCAATAGTAGAGCAGTTACCTCACAAGCATAAAATCCTAGGTTAATGCCTGGTACTAGGCAAAAAGACACCCCCATCACATTTTCAATGATCCCCACAACCTACAGAATAAAGAGTTGACCCTCAAGCAAGAAGATATATGTCTCTGCCATAATCATTTCTTGTTTCTATAGGGTTTCCCTTATCCACTTACTCTCATGGCAATTTATTAACACTCCATGCTTCTGGCCTTCGGGTCCAGTGTGTGCCCTGAGGCTAATGTCTACTTGTTATTCACAACTCAGCTCAGCCATCATGTCGTTTAGAAAGAATTATATGCTCATCTTAGTTAGCTATTAATATTAGAATCTAG